ACAGACTATATGTCTTAGAGCTTTTGTTAACATTCTATTCCTAACAGCCTTTACTTAATTCATATAGTTGTAATATCAGATCATTAAGCTAAAGAAATTCCGGATTCTAGCAGCCAACACATGATAAAATTCCTTACAGTTGAACAAACATTACTAAATTCTTGCATAAGGCCCCATTCAAAAGCATGAACATCACAAGAGTGGCTAAAACATGGTCTTATAATGCTGGTGGGAGAAGTGAGTATTTGCTCAGCCACCGCTGATAGAAGGCAGAGAGGTAGTGCTGTATATATGTGTGGGGATCTTCATGACTGTCCATGGTTCCTGTTCCTGTTCAGTGGTCGGGGGAGTCATTGTAGACACAGTCTGGATTTTTGGAAGTTGGTCCTGTGTGCAGAGAATTAAGTTGTTTGGATTTCTTCCCATATTGGCTTTGAGTTACTCCTTTGACTCACCACCAAATTTTCATTAATTCTTACTTGAAATATCCCAGTCATTAAAATGGATTGCAGTTAACTTTCAGATGCTTCTACATGGAAGATTCAAGAATTAAAGACAACAGTTGGGAGTTGCTGAAGGGGTTGATGTGGGATTAGATATTTCCCTTCCAAACATTCTTAGATGCTGTTTAAAACAATCTAAGCCCATTATCAGATGGAGGATGTGATATCTGGCCACTCATTATAACTTTCATATGATATTCCAGTTAATGCATTTGTAATATGATATTGCATAATATAGTATTGATTCGGTTTGATTTAATCCAATGCAGATGCATTTTTTAGCCTTAGGAGTTCTGCTTGCTTAACTCTCTTAGGACAAAGAATGTGGCTTATGCCAAAATTGAGTAATGGCTTCATTGTGGTTTTTCCTAATTTGCTTTTTTAAAATGTCAGTCACTAAGTCTGTTGACTGATTATTAAGCAATCTAAGTATTTTAAATATTTGTGAGTAATTAGTCTGTTCTGTGAATGGCTTGAGTAGTCATTAAAGTGGAATGTCAACTTTATTTATTGGAAATATTTCTACTTCTGTTGAACTCTCCTTTCTTTATAGGTGAAATATTGTAGTTCTCGTGGCCTTTGTTTAGTTTGCTCTTTCATGTGGTCCCACACAAAGCCAGGTTGTTATCTAAGCCATAAGCATGAGCTTGAGAGTAACGCTCTTAAAAATAACACTTGTTACCCCTGGTTAGATCTGAGGCCATGGTCAGATGAGTTCCATGTGTGCCCCTTGACCCTTGCCAAAAACCTAGCACTTTTCTCTGAGGTCACATCATAACCCCTAACCCTGGCCCATGATAATCCCCGTGTATTAGCTATTTCAAGGGGGATCAGACAAGTCAGTTCATCCCTGTTATTGTTGTTTAGTTGCCAAGTTATGTCCTCCTCTTCTGTGACCCCATGGACTATAGCATACCAGGATCCTCTGTCCATGGGATTTCCCAGGCAAGAATACTAGAATGACCGCCATTTCCTTCTCCGGGGGGTCTTCCCAACCCAGGGATCACGCCCTAGTCTACTGCATTGCAGGTGGATGCTTTACTGCTGAGCCACAGGCGAAGCCTGTTCACACCTGTACTAGTCTTGAAAACACGAGACCACTAGATTCTGCTGTCCAGTTAGCACCCAGCCCTTCACAAGGGCAGAACATGGACATAAGCGTTCTCCTCTCTCATTGTGCCATATTTCCATAGAGGTGGAAATAGCCATCGACGAGTCAGATGACCAGAGCTGAAGTCCTGGAATTTGGAAATTTTTTTAAAAGTCCAATTTTACTACCTTAACTGTCTCGTGATTTGAACCATAAACTTCTCTGAATCTGTTCAGTAGTTTTTCAGACATCTTTCTAGAGTTATAATTCACATGCCATACAGTTTATCCATTTAAAGTGTATAATTCAGTGGCTTTTCACAGAGTTGTTTATTCACAGAGTTGTCCATCTATCAGCACAGTCAATTTCAGAACATTTTCATTATCCTCAAAAAAAAAAAAAAAAAATCCCCATACCTGGCTGTCACTGCCCAGACCTCCCATCCCCTCTGGCCCTAAGCAACCACACATCTATTTCTGTCATTGTTAGATTTGCCAGTCCTGGCCCTGATGCGTGCTTAGTTGCTCAGCCTTGTCCAACTCTTTGTAATCCTTTGGATTGTAGCCTACCAGGCTTCTGTGCCCATGGGATTCTCCAGGCAAGGATACTGGAGTGGGTTGCCATGGCCTCTTCCAGAGGATCTTCTTGACCCAGGGATCAAACCCACATCTCCTGTGTCTCGTGCATTGGAAGGCGGATTCTTTACCTGCTGAACCATCTTGGGAAGGCGCCATTTGGTATAAATGGAATCATGGAGTGTATACTCCTTTGCGACTGGCTTCTTTCACTTAGCATACTGTTTCCAGGGGTTATCAATGTTTAGCATGTATCAGCACTCCATTCCTTTTTATTGCCAAATAATAATCCATTGTCTGGATCTACCACATTTAATTCATCCATTCATCAGTTGGTGGACTTTTAGGCTGTTTTCATGTTTTGTCTATTACGAATGATGCTGCTCTGAGGGTTCAGGTATAGGCTTTTGTGTGGACATATGTTTGCATTTCTCTTGGGTGTGTACCTAGGAGTAAAATTGCTGGGTCCCATGGTAATTCTGTGCTTACTTGTTTGAAGAATTGCCAGACTGTTTTCCAAAGATTCCATAGGATCTTATACCCTAATTTACAATGTATCAGGATTTCAGTTTCTCTATATCCTTAGCAGTCACCTGGCTCTAAACCGTGTGCTGTTGCATTCCACTCTGAATGTCTCCAGGGGTTGCATGTGGCAGCTGCTGTGCGTCCAGCTGACAGATCTGACCTGACGGAGCCCGTGCACTCTTAAAATCCAAGGCAGTCATCTCCCAAGTAAACAGCTGGCTGCTGGTCCGAATGTATTTGTTCTTGCCAGCTTTAGTTTGGAATGGTAATCTTATGTAGGGTTGCAGTGTGAGGGTGGGGCCTTCGCAGGGCAAAGTAGTGTGTTAGTAGCCTTCTCTTTAAATCTTCAACCTAGAAGAGAATTCCTAGTGGAGAAAGAAGAAATACTTTTCGTGCTGTCCTTCTTCATGTCTGTTCTCTTTTTCAGTCCGTTCCTTCTACCTCACACCCTTCGTAATGGTGGTAGAGAAGAGTGTGTGTTTCTTTTTTTAATTAGACAGAGGCAGTGGAGGCCCAGAGAGGGCCTCTGAGTTATGACCATTGGTTAATAAAAACGACAGAGTGCATTGATAACTAACTGCCACTAACTTATTCTGCCATTCTCACCTTCCAAGTAAAGGAGGACCCTTGAACTTGCCTCAGAACTTGCTCTACCTAGGTCCTTTCTGTTAATATAGCACAGAAGCATATGGTTAGAGTTTAGAAGTCTATATAATGTCTGTTTTTAAAGCAGATAATTTGAACATTTTCAGTTGCCTTTTAATTAGCTTAACTCCATCTCTTCAGGTCTCCTCTCTTCTTTTTGTCCATTTTGAATCAGAGAAACTTGAAAAACATTGTATACTAATTGCAGACACCTAGGGTTCAGTTCAGTCGCTCAGTCATGTCTGACTCTTTGCGACCCCATGAACCGCAGCACACCAGGCCTCCCTGTCCATCACCAACTCCCGGAGTTTACTCAGACTCATGCCCATCGAGTCAGTGATGCCATCCAGCCATCTCGCCCTCTGTCATCCCCTTCTCCTCCTGCCCCCAATCCCTCCCAGCATCAGGGTCTTTTCCAATGAGTCAACTCTTCACATGAGGTGGCCAACGTATTGGAGTTTCAGCTTCAACATCAGTCCTACCAATGAACACCCAGGTCTGATCTCCTTTAGGATGGACTGGTTGGATCTCCTAGCAGTCCAAGGGACTCTCAAGAGTCTTCTCCAACACCACAGTTCAAAAGCATCAATTCTTCAGCCCTCAGCTTTCTTCACCGTCCAACTCTCACATCCATACATGACCACTGGAAAAAACCAAAGCCTTGACTAGACGGGCCTTTGTTGACAAAGTAATGTCTCTGCTTTTCAATATGCTGTCTAGGTTGGTTATAACTTTGCTTCCAAGGAGTAAGCGTCTTTTAATTTCGTGGCTGCAGTCACTGTCTGCAGTGATTTTGGAGCCCAGAAAAATAGTCAGCCACTGTTTCCCCATCTATTTGCCATGAAGTGATGGGACCGGATGCCATGCTCTTAGTTTTCTGAATGTTGAGCTTTAAGCCAACTTTTTCACTCTCCTCACCTAGGCTTAAATCCAGGCTTTGCTATTTACAGCTTGTGTGATCTTGAATTGTTTGCTTAACCTCTCTGTGTTGAAATTGTTACATGGAAAAATAATAGTGCATATCTGATTTCAAACAAGTTAACACACATAAAGTACTTTGAAAAGTCCCTTGAATGTGGAATGTACATTAGCTATTTATCATTTAAAGCACTCATAAAAAAAAGACCCCATAAACCTATAACCACCACGGCTGCTTCTACCCTTTCCACAGCTCCAGCTCTTCTGGTCAAAGTTGAACAACCTATGATTCAGGTTACTTAAAAAAGATCTGATGGAATTCCCTGGTGGTCCAGTGACTAAGGACTCTTGGCTTGCATTGTCAAGGCTGTGGGTTTAATCCCTGGTCTGGGAACTCAGATCCCACATGCACCTTGCTCTCCCAGCAGTTAGAATGTTAAAGGACAAGAGGAGGATGAGACCTGTCAATCATTTAGTTAGGAAACAACCAGGAACAGGTTGCCCCAAAACGTATTTTCCTAAGATTTGATGTAATGTAAATTTCTGTCTCATCTTTCTTTTTATTTTTTTAATCTTCTGGGATGTCCTTGGCTTCCAATGACCATAGCTGGAATCCTTCAGTATCTGGCATGGTTCCAAACACACAGTTAATATGGGACTAAGTAAATGTGCACTTAAATACGTAACCAGAGCTTCCTCCTGGGTTGTCTTTAACGCCTTGTTTCTCCCCCTCTTGATCTCCAGGTATCTCGGATGAAGAAATTATCAACATTACTCTTCCTACTGGGGTCCCCATTCTCCTGGAACTGGATGAGAACCTGCATACTGTTGGGCCTCACCAGTTCCTGGGCGACCAAGAGGCTATCCAAGCAGCCATTAAGAAAGTTGAGGATCAAGGAAAAGTGAAACGAGCTGACAAATAAAGTCTTTCCCACGTGCTGGCTAGGAATAGCTGCAGAAGGAGTGGCATGCAGTGTGTTATGGGTGCTCATCTTGCTTTTCTTTTTCTTTTTTGGTCTCCCTGCCTGATTTTTCCAGATCTAGGCTGTGGGGTAGAGTTTGTAGAGGTAATTAGGTAACTTAACCTTGGCCCAGTTAAAGGCTTTAGGATGCCCAAGTGCTTATGTCATAGCCTTATGTGCTAACCCCTGCCGGCCTCCTTTTAATTAGTCACTAAGTTAGTTACCAGTGGGGCTTAATCAATGTCCTAAGTTTCTGAGATGGGAAAGCAACAAGTGAAGGTCAAGTTCAAGGTTGTCCTCATTCAGTAAATCAGTATTGAGTCACTACTGACAGACCTTCACTTTAATAAGACGTTTGTGTTTATAGAAAATTTCTGGGATAATAATAAAGGATATTAGATACTATGCTCTACTTAAGTATTTATTACTAGTCTTTTCCTCAAGGAAAAGGGGTACTCTCATAGGTAAGACCAGCGGCCCATTAAATGGGAGAGTCACAGATGGATTCTTCCAAAGCAGCCAGCTACAAACAGCAAGGCCCTTTGCCTCATCTCTAGTCCAGAGACATCCTGTTTGACATCTGGTGGAATTCCTTTCTGGCTGCTGTAATTAGCAGCATATAGACAACCATAGCTATTCATGTTCTCTTTTGTTTTTAAACATTAATCTTGGGCTCCTTAAAATTGATTTAAAAATAAGTTCTGTGTCTGAAAATGGTACCCCCAAAGTATTTCCATGTGATTCATAAGTATTAAGTAGAAGCTTCTGAATTAGTCTCTGCTCTCATCTTCCTGTAACACAAAGAGTTGTACCTGTTTCAACACACAGACATGCTTAATTCTCTATAAATTGAAGGTTGGGTCAGGGTGAAGGTAGAATATAGTGGGTGTAATTTCAGGGGAAATGGTATACTGGCACTTGTCATGTACATTTGTTCTTTATCTGCTGAGGTCAAAACATTATGGTACATAGTCTGTAGTACTCAGGATAGACCACAGACTGATTGATTGATTGCTCATCAATCTTAATGATACAGGATGTCTTTAGATGCTGTAGACAGGTACGTCATCATTTCTTTAAGCTACTGCCTTATGTCAAAGCAAGTGACGTACGTTTCAATGATAGTCATCTTAACAGCTTACAACTATAATAGCTATTACAGGTATCACCAGTTTTTCACGGTTTTCCATTGGTGGATTAGTTTATTTGCGTCCATTTTATAGTAAAATTGGCATTAGAAGGAAACTAATTATAAAACCCTTGCTACTGCTTGGTCTCCACTGATCCTTAAATCAAGACTTAGAGGGACTTTCCTGGCAGTCCAGTGGTTATGACTCTGAACTTCCAATACAGGGGACATGGTTTCCATCCCTGGTCAGGGAACTAAGACCCCACGTGCTGTGCAGTGCAGCCAAAAGATAAAAGATAAAGAAGACTTAGAGCATCAGCTGATAAATAAAGGTGGCTGAAAAGAACATGGTTTGCTCACAGCTGGCCACATCTGCAATGCGTAAGGACACGGAATGTGGCTGCTTGGCATTCCTGACCAACTACTGTCTTTTCTGCTGCCGTCCTTCTTTTCACATTCCTGTTGCCCAAACAAACAGCACTCTTTATAATAATTCAGAGATCAGGGCTGCGAATACAACTACCGTCTCTTCCTAGAATTCCAAACCTGTGGCTAAACTTCAACTCAGACCATTTTTGAACAGCTTCATCTCTGGAACTGGCATCTGAATTTTCAAGCCCAAGTGGTGACCATGTCTTAAAGCAGCTCAAGAGCCCAGATTTGGATTTTCCCCTCGTCCCACCTCTAGACGTCCACCTCCAGAGCACCCCCAGCAGCATGATTGCTCCTATGCACAAAGCTGTGCTCACGCTCAGTCACTTTGGAGTCTCACAGACTTCCGCAGAGAGGGATGATTGTTGCTGACACATTCTGGTACAATTTTGGTTTTATTGTTTTTGAGATCTTGGCTGAAATAAATGAAGCGAGATTTATGAAAACTTGATGTACAGTTATCTTTAACAACTTTAGCACGTCAACCTTGAGACCACCTAGCGAACCTGTTTTCTTTGCATGGTTTGCAAAGTATTCAGGATTTTTGATGTAGGTACCTTGAAGAATGCCTAACCTGGATCCTTATCTTGGTATCCTCTGTACTATGTCAAGCTGGGACCATAAATAGGGGGAATTTTTTAAATGTAAAAAATGATAGCTCATCTAGAAATTTGGTCCTTGGCGGGCCAGGTTTGGCTTGCCTTGTAACCACCTAGCCAAGTTTCTTCTACCCAGGCTGTAATAATTGTTATGTGCAGGTCCAGTGTGGTAAGATAATAGCCATAACAAGATGCTATGAATTTTAATTTTTAAATATCTTAAATGAATCCTGTATCCCAGTACATTGAGACTTTGTTTTTCTGAAAAAACAAAAATTCTGCCTCAGGAAAAAGGTTCTTAAAATCATCCAGTGCAAATTTGAGCACTGAATTAACAAAGCATCCTCTATTAGGATACGTTACATCATTTATATTTCCTTGATAAAGATGTGCAAGGAAAATTTCTCAACATGATCTGGCTATTTCCATGCTTAACCAGATTCTTCTGCCCCAAATTTGCAGACTATTTCTCATCTTGGGTCATGACCACTTTTATTAAAATGCAGCCCTTCGTGTGCACATTAATGGCAGTGGTTATTTGTCTTCTAGTCTGGGAAACCTCCCCAGAGGCTCTGTAGCTTTGTTGCCAGATGCTTTTTTTGGTTAAAGCCAATCCCTGTTGGGCTGCATTTGGCCAACTTGGTAGCCAGAAGCAGAAATCCTTCCAGGAAAGAGAAGTCAGAGATCACATATGTTTCCCCCCTTCCTACCATGTAGTTATAATTTTTTAGTTTTCCAGCCCCTCTCTGTTTATGACAGAAGTAGGGGAACCAGCTTTACTGGACAGAAAGATCATCATCCCCAGCATCATTTTTAATTCATTTTTATGCGCTTACAAGTGGCAAGTCTGTCTGCAAAGTTCAGGTTCCCTCTCACCTGGAAAGTCTTTCATATGTTTCTCTTCCCTCAGAAAAACAAAATTGCCTCAATATTTCAGACTCTGATCACTTTTCCTGCTTTTGTCTTCTGCATGGTTGGATTTGCAAGTTTGGGACTCACTTCTATAGCACTATTCGTCTTAATAAATCATGCATTGCCTCTCAGCAGATCTGATTGTGGCAGATGCTATGTTATGCTGTATCCTGAGGGTTTCCACATTGGACTGTGAGGGAAATTTTGTCCTAAGGGGAATATGAAACGACTGTACTGTAAGAATAGTTTAAACATGCAATCTCTCTCTAGTGCCAAAGCTATTTGGCAAAATGATAGGCAGAATTAAAGTCACTCTTGCCCACAATTGGCGAAATTTTATTTATTGGAAGATAATCTCACTATATAGACTAGCTTTTAAGCCATGGAGTTTAAGTCCAAAAAATGTAAGTTCCTTAGACAAAATCTTAAACATGAGCCAGATTGTCATCATCACTTTTAACTTTCACATAATAGAGCCACATTTTATTTGCCTTCTATTTAGTTGGGGCTGGCCATTTAAACTTATGCTTACTCTGATTTAACAGGAATATATTTTTAATATCTTTTTATTATAAAACATTTTAAACATCCACAAAAGCAACTTGTGACCATCATTGTATGTGTCTTCTCACTTTGCCCACTGGATTGCTTTGAAACAAATGCTGAATGTCAAACAGGATAGATTTTGAGAAAGAAAACCCCTCTGATAGTCTTCAACCAGTTAAAATGAAAGCCCCAGTAATCTCTTCTGATATTTGTCCATTTTGGTACTCTCAAAAAACAGCCATTGCTAAGTTGTCCAATTCAGGTCCTAAATACAGTTGCATTATCTGTCCTTGCTCTTTAGAGAGCTGTTAGTCTGTTCTGTGTGACTTCTGCGGGATAATTTGGAATGATTGGGTAACACTGATGTTAAATTCAAGTGTTTAAAGATGTAAATGTTCCTGAGACTATTTTAAAGAATTACTTAAGTAATTCTGAATTTCATAGGTTTAAAAATTGAGCATATTTGTTGATGTTATTGTAAATTAGGTTACTCACAAAGGGAGAAGAGAGCTAGAAGGTGGAGGAAGATAAAGAAGACCACCATGTTACTAGTTTTGAACTGGAGATATTTGTATGAATGTGTATGTGATTTCCTCTCTCTTCCCAGCCCCACCTCTCCTTTTCCCCCACTCCAGCTCTGGCTGTGTGCTCTGAAAGAGCCTGGAAGCCATAACCTAGTAACAATGAACACACCTAGTTACCTTGATCTTGTTTTCTAAATACTGTTCCACAGATCCAGCGATGTTTGGGAAAACTGTTGATTCCAGGTTGGAAGCAGATAAAGATAAAGTGAACTTAGAACACCTTGAGTCAGAAAAGAAGAAAATGCCCAAATACTGGTGGGGCATAAACATTGGCTTCAGGTGCCAAATTTGGGACAGTTTGAGTTTAAAGAACAACAGTGATGGATTATAAAACATTTGTTTTAGTCTGTTCAGGCTGTTGTAACAAAGCACCACAGATGACTTAAATAAACATCTCTCACGGTTCAGGAGGCTGGGGAGTCCAAGACCAAGGCACTGGCAGATTGATTGTTTGATGAGAACTGTCTTCCTGGTTTTCAGACTGACATCTTCTTGCTGTGTCCTCACATGGTAGAGAGGGAAGGGTCTCTGGTCTCTTCCTTTTAGAACACTATTCTTATCATGGGGGATCCACCCCCATGACCTCATCTAAACCTCACCTCCCAAAGGCCCCACCTCCAAACACCATCACCCCAGGGAGCAGGGTTTTACCAATTAGGTTTGAACCTTAATTGGATATTTTGATTAAAAGTTATAAAGGACATTTTAGGGGCTGAAAAATTTGAGGTTGAGGTGTCATGATGCCCGCAATTCACCTGC